ACTGAATTCTCACCATAAATAATCTACAAAGTGAGCATTTTTTTTTCCCCCTTGATTGTACCATGAGAAAATAGGCTCAGAAAAGGGAAGTGACTTTTCTGAGGTCACATATCTGGGAAATTCAGAGACAGGATTTATAACCAAATCTACCCCTCAGCTTTGTTCTTTTATTCCAGTAATTCTAAACTTTAGTGTGCACAGAATCACCTGGAAGTCTTGTAAAAACAAAGAGGGGCCCACCCCAGAGTTTCTGGTGCTGTATGTATGGAGGGTCCCCAGAATTTGTATTTCTAGCAGGTCTCCAAGTTCTGCTGATACTGTGGTCCAGGAAACTCTCCTTGAAAAGAACTGTTCTAGACCATACTTCCTCCAGCAATCACTCCATGGGTATTTCTAAGCACTTACAGTGTGCCCAGCCTTGGGCCTCATTCTAAAGGTGGGAGGGTTGCTCAGAGCAAGGAAACAGCATTGCTTTGTCCTCATAGACGGGAGACTTTGGAGGAAAGAACAAGCCCACAACAAAGCTACAGGAAAGTACCAGATGGTGTCTCCTGTGGTCAGGATAGCTGGTGAGGAAAGGCAAGGCAGGAACTGGGCCTTGTGAGGTCTGGAGGGCTGGGAAGAGAGAGAGGGAGAGACGCAGGGAACAGATGGATAGAGAGTATCAGAGAAAATGAAAAATATTCCAAGGAAAGTTGTCTGTGAAATCAAGGAGCATTATGATGTTGATGGTCTTAGCTACCATGTACACAGCAATTACCGTAAGCTGCCAGCCACGGGCAAAGCTCTATACAAATACTGTCAAATGTAATCCTCCCAATAACCTGATGTGGTTAATAATAGCTCCATTTAAGGTCAATGCTCTCTGCTGCTTCTAGATCTAAATCCGAGGGGCCAGTGGTAGAACTGAAGTTAGACTCACACGTCACCTGACTTGCTCTTCTGTGTCTCTAGGGTGAAAGGAGATAAATCATTTCAGTTTAAGCATGATGTGTCAGCTTCTTTCTAGCTCCTCTGCCTGCCACAGGCATGTGTTTCTACTGACTCAGAATACGGAGGGCATTTGTTAGTGGCTTTTAGCAGTTTTAAGACCCCTAGGTGTCACAAACGGTTTGCATTCTAGTACTAACCCAAAGGTTGGTGGTTCAAGCCCACCCAGAAGTACCGTGGACAATAAGTCTGGAGATCTGCTTTCATAAAGATTACAGCCAAAAAAAAAAAAAAAAAAAAAAAACCATGGAGGAGTTCTGCTATGTAACACATGGGTTGCCATGAATTGGAATCAATTCTGTGGCAACTAACTACAACAGCAATTTTTAAGGAAAAATCCATTTTAAAAGTCAGAAGTGCTTGACCACATGGTCCTGTCTAGCCTTTTTACCTTCCAAACAGGCCAGCAGTTGCCTGAGGGGAGAGAGATGAAGCAGGAACCGCTTCCATGATTGTAGGCTCAAGGTGGCTTTGATAAAAACTCAAAAGGGGATTTGCGGCTCTTTCTATGTTGTATTCTGTGGAAGACTCGACCAGCTGGATGTCCCATTACAGAAGGGTTCTGGGGCCACATGAAATTGGAAAAAGCTACAAAACATCTTTCCTTTATTAAAAGCTCTATAAGTTCTTCAGGGCAGAAACCAGCTTCTCTTAGTTGTAATTCCATAATTCCCAAACTTAGTTGATCATAAGTCCATTTTTTTTTTTTTTTTTTTTGATCAACCCAAGAAACTGGAGTCCTGTGGGCTCTTTGAATACTGGCTGAAAAACTTAGAAGTGTCCCTAGCACAAAGGCAGCTGAGAGAACAGTGAATTCACCCTCTGCTCCATGACCTGCAGGTTGGGTGGCTTGGGTGCGCTCATGCACAATTCCATAAGCCACGAGGTGAAGCTAAAGGAGCTGTCATAGAATGTAAAGGATTGGAGTGTGATGGCTCCAGCACTGATTTATTGTAAAGCCCCAGGCCTAGAAAATAATTGCTATTTGGTGAGGGCAGTTCACAGGAGCAACATAAACTGTCCCAAACAGGAAAGATTCATCCAGTTGGATCCAGAAGTTTCTGTGACTCTAGGATTATGTAAAGAAGAGTAAGAAACTATTAGTATTTCAGGCAGCCTTGGAAAGTGTACAAGCTGAGGCAGTCTGACATTCTGAAGAGAAAGGCCAGCTAAGAGCTGGTGGAACACTGCTGGCCCTGAGTCAGATCGTCCAGGGATTGAATCCCAAATGACACAACTTCTCTGAGCCAAATTCCTCATTGGTAAAATGGAGATAATATTATATCTACCTCATTAGTTTGTCAGGAGAATGACATGAGCGACGTTTCCCAAGGGAGGTTCTCCCATGGGGCACTATTCCTAGTTGGTTCCAAGGAGTGTGGTCATTATCATCCCATTATTAAAGGTCCTTCAGATTCACTTTACCTAAAACTCAGCTCACCACCTTCTTTATAAAATTAGTTCCCTTTTTGACTTCCCTGGTTCTCACTTGGTCACACAAGCTCAAAATCACTGTTTTCTCCTCCCAATTGATCCATCTAATTGCCAAACCTTTGTGATTGATGCATTAGCCATCATCAAGTCACTGAACCTCTCTAGGCCTCCCTTTCATCATCTATGCAAAGAAAAGTAGGTGCTTAAATAATGGTTTTCATTTTAAAAAAAAACCATGGAACTCTCTACAAACATCCCCTTAAGAGGAAGTCTAAGATCTAAAACCACTGGAATCTACCACTCACAGATTCTCGTTCTGGGTTAGGGTCCAGAAATCTGTAGTTATAACATCTTCCAAGGTGACCCTGATGGGCAGCTAGCTTTGGGACCCATTGATGAATCCGTACATGGCAGATACTCAACAAATAAGTGAGCAAGGAAATGCCATTCACACACCAGCTGATGGCAGCTCAAACCCATTTCTCTTTTCAACTTAGAGTAAAGGTGTGTAATCCTTGTACCTCCTGGGCTAGCTAATGTTCCTTCAAATTATTCCCTTATGCTCAAAACTGACTTTATACAGTTTAGAGTCCAAAAAACTAGCCAGGACCCTTTGCCATGCAGGCATGATTCTGTTGTAGGTTCCCAGCCATGGCCAAACTACTGGCCCAAAGTGAGGTTCAAGTGAGGTTGGGATTCTCCTTGGTCCTATGAGAGAAGAGATAGTGACCAAAGAGAGATTAAGAAAGGAATGGGACAGAGAAGAAATGGGGATAAAGGGTGAAGGCAACAGAAGGGAGGTAGAACACAGGCTCCAAGGAGGTAACTCTCCAGATTGTCAGAGAGAACTGTTGACATCTGCCAGTCTTCCTCATGGACACAATAGTACTTACGCTCTACCAGACAACACGCTGTGAAGTTTAGACACCTACCACAGAGATGGGACTAGAATTCTCAGAGAAACAGCACTCTGTGAATTTTAACTGTTCTTTGAACTGATTCTTAAGGTCATTATTATCCCTGGATTGTAATAGAATCTGTCTCAGTGTTTGAGAGCAACTTTTTTGAAGAAAATTTAAAGATCAGACTGGCATGTAAAGATAGCTGGAGAATTCATAGGCATAAAGGTGGACAAATACGATTTGGCTAAAGATAGAAAGTTGATGATGTTCCTAAAAGGACAGAAACTTAACATTTATAGAATTATCCTGTTTCTAGAACTACTCCACAGGACTTTAACCTTTTGGCTTGGGGGACATTTTACACATAATCAAAAGTTGCCAAGCAGGTGAGCTCAGCACTTAGCTTCTTGTTCCAAAATGGGATGTTTAGGAAATGAAACACTCCTGTTAAAGGACATGCTTTCTTTTACTTACTAATAGTCCCTAAAAAATGGTAAGATTTGCTTTAAAAAAATCAAGGCAAAGAAAAGATGTAGAGAGAGTAAATGTGGCAAATCTCGATAACTGTCAAATCTGAATGATGTGTATGTGACGTTCATTGTATTCTTCTGTCTACTTTTCTTTGTTTGAAAATTCTCTTAATAAAAACAAATAATTATTAGTTTTTTTCCCTAAAAGACAATAAAAGAAATCACTGAGAAGGTGATTATCAAGGCCCTAGAATATGTTCAAAGCTGTATTAGGAGCTATAACTGAGGCCAAACAGTCTAGCTACGTAAGCCTGGGATCTGCTCTGGAAATGAAAGTTTGTAACTATTCTTCCCTGCTGTGGTCATTAAGGAACGTTTAGTCTTTGCTCATGACCTGGACTGGCTATCCAAACTCTTTTTTTCTTCTAAACTGAAATTTTTTGTTGAACATAGTCCTAGAAGGAAGTCCAATATGTCAAATAGATAGAATGGAGCCACAGTGGTGAAAGTATATGTATGTGTGAGTTTGAGTGTGTATCTCTGTGTGAGTATGAGTGTGTCTGTGTGTGTGTGAGTTTGAGTGTATCTGTGTATCTGCATGTGTATCTATCTTTATGTATATGTTTATGTGTGTCTGTATCTGCATGTGTCTCTCTGTGAGTATGAGTGTGTGTGTAAATATGTGTGTATAGTTCTGGTGGTGCAGTGACTGCTAACCAGAAGGTTGGTGGTTCAAACCCACCAGCCACTCCATGGAAGGAAGACTGAGCAATCTACTTCCGTAAAGATTTACCACCTCTGAAACCCAATGGGGTCACTATGAGTCAGAATCAACTCAATAGCAGTGAGGTTTTTTTTTTTCATTTTTCTAAATATGTGTGTGCTTCTCTGTTTGGGTGAGTGTCTGGTGTGTGTTTGTGTGTGTGTGTTTGATGGAGAGGTACAGCTTAGAGGTGAACCTTGCCCACTACTTTCCCCTCCCATCAGAGCTCCTGAAGAGGCTCCTGGAGACTCCTAGTTTTCCAGACAATTGGCAGAGATGCCCAAACCAGCCATGTGTAAGACAAGTCTTGTCTCCCACTTGAGCAAAGAAATGCAGCCTGCCTGTGATCTGTGTCTGTGGTCCTGAATGTTTGGCCTTGTTAAAGAAATGAATGAGTCTGGCTGAGCACATCATAACCTCCACAACTCCCTTTGCCAACAGATATTGATTTTGCCACCCGCAAGATCGCAATACATCTGATTCAGACGAAGATCATTGAACAAAATGGTGATAACTTTAAGACGAAAACCAACAGCACGTTCCGCAACTACGCCTTGGATTTCACTGTTGGAGTGGAGTTTGACGAGTTCACAAAGGGCCTGGACAACCGGCAAGTGAAGGTACTGACCTGGCATGGTGTTTTCACTCATATACTTTTTGTGCCGAGACAGCTATTTGGCTTCTCAATGAAAAAATGACAGAAACAACCTGGGAGGGGTCAGGAAAGGGAGACCATAATGGACTTGATGATGTTGGCAACAGGCAATTATTGAAAGCTTAGTAAGAAAAGGCCAACTGGCTTCTGCACTAAGTATATAAGCAGAGGAAGGATGAAAGGATCTGGAGTTTTTTGGATCTAGGGCCAACCAAAACCAAAACCAAACCCACTATCATGGAGTCAGTTCTGACTCACAGCAATAGGGTAGAATTCCCCCATAGTTTCCAAGGCGATATCTTTTTGGAAGCAGACTGCTACATCTTTCTCCTGTGGAGTAGCTGGTGGGTTCAAACTGCCAACCTTTTGGTTAGCAGCCAAGTGCTTAATCATTGGTCCACCAGGGCTTCATTGAACCTAAAGCAGGGGCCCAAGCAGGCAAATTGAGGAGGACAAGGTGTAATACTATCAGGAGTGCTGGCGACTGTGGCAAAGTGGATAGGATAGCTTCATTTAAAGAGGAAATGCTTCTCAGCTCCAGCTAAGCATTGCTGTGGAGGAATAAGGACCTTGGGGTGCCAGATTGTTTTCAAGAGAAGTTGAGAACTCAGATATTTTTATATGAAATAAAAATCTCAATTTTAGATGATGTCAACTGATTTAATTTTTAAGTGCTATGCCACTCCTTGGAAGGAATATGGGGCAATCTACTTCCGTAGTGATACTGACTGGGAAACCCGAGGAGGGGTCGCTATGAGTCAGGTCTGACTCGAAGGCACATAACAACAACAACAACAACAACATGCAAACCAAAAGGAGCCCTGTTGGTGCATTGGTTAAGTACTCAGCTGCTAATCAAAAGGTTATCAGTTCAAACCCACCAGCCACTCTGTGGGAGAAAGATGTGGCAGTCTGCTTCCATAAAGATTACAGCCTTAGAAACCGTCTCTATGGGACAATTCTACATTGTCCTGTCAGGTCGGTATGAGTTGGAATTGCTCAATGGCAATGTGTTTTATGCAAACCAAACAAAAAAGTCAGTAGACTAAATGAAACCAGATGCCATTGAGCCCATTCCAACTCAAGGAGACTTCTTATGTGTCAGAGAAGAACTGTGCTCTGTATGTTTTTCAATGGCTTATTATTATTATTTTGGAAGTGGATCACCAGGCCTTTCTTCCAAGGCACCTCAAGGTGGACTTGAATTTCCGACCTTTTGGTTAATTCATTAACAGCGTGCACCCCCCAGGATTTCCATATTAAATGAAGTCAGCATTCACCTAGCTCTAGTGACTGGGAGAGGTGCCTAGATAGCATAAGAAGTTTGCAATCAGCCTCTAACTTAAAGGTTGATGATTCAAACCCACCCAGCAGCTGCATGAAAAAAAGTCTGATGAACTACTTCCCTAAAGACTACAGCCAAGGAAACTGTATGGAGCAGTTCTATTCTGTAACACATAGGATCTCCATGAGTCAGAGGCCAACTCAATGGCAGTCTTATTTAAGGATCCCTCACCCTTTGCATTATATAAGAACCCCAGGGATTATACAGTCTAGGAAAGTTGGAAGGGTTTCCATTTTGCCAATAATCGTGGTTGTCATTGATCAGTCACTGTTCATGCCCATATAGTTTATATGAGGAAAGGGTAACTCAGACACTCATAGCATACACTGCCTCTGTGTCAGGCTCAGCCACTAGGCCCTGATTCCCAGGTTGAGGAAGGGAGGGGCTGCTATCTGTGCTTTATCCACCCAGCAAAGGGCCAGCTCCTTGGGGCGTCACAGGTGCAGATCCTCCCACTCAAGAACCCTCCCCTTTTTCCCCCAAGCCCGACTCTTCCCACCCTCAGAACTCTCAACCTGTGCTTCCAGGAGATCTCTCAAAATCAGAGGTCTCAACTCTCCCTAAAAACTAGAGACAGGAGCACTGGCTACTCTCTTGGGGTAGGGAGGAGAAGCTGTTTTCATTCTTTGATGATGACGCTAAAGCTGAGAGAGTGGGACATATTTTACTTCTCAATCAAGTTGTACTGAAACATTGATAATCTCAGCCATCCAGTCACGGCTGAGCTATGCTGAGTGAGTATTCATTGCTAAAGAAAAGAGAGGAAGCTTGAAGCACTTTGGAAAACCTTTCATCAGAGCAGTCTGGCTTGGGAGCATAAGCTTCCCAGCTCTGCACCATCCACTTGCAGAATCCCTCCCCAAGGAGATGATGGATAGGCAGGCATTCCTGAACTGTGCAGCTGAAAGCCCGATCCATCAGATGCCAGGAGTGATAGCAAAATTTGTCAGAATTTTTGCATCGTTCTGCTGTCCTAACCGAGTCAGTTCAAAATGATTCATTTTCCCTTGCCCTGCAGTTTGGAGTGTGTGCTCTTGAAAAGCAGATCTGTCCACTCTGACTCATTCTTTGATCATCTTTCATGGTGGAGAACTCACTTTTCCTGAAATATATCTTGTCCTTCCAACCCTTCCTGACCCTTAAAGGATTTCATCTGCAAACACCTACTCCTCTCTGCCTCTCCACGCTCCTTGCCCTCTGAGCCTGAATCAGCTGTTAACTCTGAAGAGAAAATTCCCTTGTCTGTATTTTGCCTCTGCTGTGCCTGCAACAAAAAGCTCAGACCAAAAAACACACACAGCTGATACACTCTCATATAAGAACATTCTCACATACAGACATACACTCTCTTATAATACTCATACACACTCTCACATACACAGGCACATGTTCACACACACACAGTGACACTCTCACACTGACCCTCACATACACACAGCATTAAGAGGGGCTGAGTAATACCTAGGACAGAGGTTGCCCAGCCTCTAGAAAAGGGCCTGGTTCCCATGAGAATCACGACGCAGAGCAGAGCAGGTATTGTGGGTGGTATCTACTTGCTGTAACTTAACCAAACCCCTTCAGCAGGAAGAAGATGCCAGGCAGTGAAAAAATTTGTCTCCCCAATTAATTTCCATCATCCATACTGGCTGCGTGGCTGTGTGTGCATGTGGATATAGACAGGACTCCTCACACTCTGGTTCTCCAAGGCTCTATTTCTCAGCCCTTGGTCACCCTCGTGAACCGCTCCCAAAATTCCCATTCAGCTAGTTTGAAGGACACATGGGTGTGGGGTAGGCATGCAGCAGAGGCCTAGCAGGACCCTGTAGTGCCCAGTTCTCTACCAGATACAGAGCTAGAACAATGGAACCACACTGAGCATGGGGTCAACTCTTCTCTGCAGGGTCTGGGGACCCCCTTTTGCCTTCCTACACATCATATATACTCCTAACATCCTACCTTGACTTATTCCTATGAGGGTTTAAAGCCTCTTTCAAAATATGCAAAACCAAAAACCTACTGCTGTTGAGTCAATTCTAACTCATGGCGACCCATGTGTGTCACAGAAGAACTGCTCCATAGGGTTTTTAAAATGTGCGAGCTACTCCAAAATAACGTAATTGATATCCATACAGTAGAATATTATCCAGCAATAAAAAGAAATGAAATACTGATTCATGCTATAACAGGGATGAACCTTGAAAACATTATGCTAAGTAGAAGAAGCCAGACACAAAAAGGCCACATATTAAAAGATTCCATTTATATGAAATGTTCTGAGTAAGTAAATCGACAGAGACAGAAAGATTAGTGCTTGCCAGGAACTGGGGGAGGGGAGGGATGTGGTTTGGCTGCTAATGGGTGATGAAAATGTTCTAGAATTAGTAGTGATAGTTGTACAATATTGTGAATATAGAGAAAACTACTGAATCGCACATTTTAAAAGGGTGAATTTCATGGTATCTGAATTACAGCTCAGTTTAAAAAGGAAATAATTGAAACAGGGGTAGAGAGCAATGCCAGAGAAAAGCAGATATAGACGACGACAGGTAGAGCCAAAAATGGTAGTGTGACATTCAGAAGAGACGTGAGAGTCCAGAGGAGGCTCCCAGGTAGTGAGGAGAGACTGACTGCCACAGGAAGAGGGTAAAGGGATCACAGGAGGAGAGGACAGGGGCCCTGCGGCAGAAGGAATAAGTCTTGCCTGAGTGCAGGTGTTCACTGTGGAGCCCTGGTGGTGCAGTGGCTAAGCGCTCAGCTGTTAACGGAAAGGTGATGATTCAAGCCTATCAGCTGCTCTGTGAGAGAAAGATGTGGCAGTCTGCTTCTGTAAAGGTTACAGCCTTGGAAACCTCTTGGGGCAGTTTTACTCTGTCCTATAGATAGAGTCGAGTGCGACTCAGTGACATCTAACAACAACAACAACATAGATAGGGTCAGGAGCTCTGGTGGCCTAGCACCTAAGGCATTTGACTGCTAAACAGAAGAGGTTCAAACCCACCAGCCACTCCTGAGAAAGAAGACTGGGCAATCTACTTCCATAGTGATACCGCCTCGGAAACCCAAGGAGGAGTCACTTTGAGTCGGATCCAATTCAACGGCAGTGGATTTATAGATAGGATTGCTATCAGTTGGGATCTTTGCCATGGCAACAGTATCCTCCAATGCTCTTAATTTAAAGGACTGTTATCTTCCTTGAAAAAAAAAATCATATTTGGGAGTGATTTCAAATTTATAAAAATGTTACAAGCATATAACAAAAATACCCATATACCTTTACTCAGAGTTACCTATTGTTAACATTTTACCCTATTTGCTTCAACACATGCATGTGCTTTTTCTTTAATACATATATTTGTGTGTGTGTATGCATATTTTTATTTTCTGAACAATTTGGTGCTTTACCCCCTATATAATTTTGCATGTATCTCCTAAGGATTAGGATATTCTCTTCTATCACCACAGCATAGTTATTAGCGTCTTTAATTTAACATCAATACAGTCCTTGTATCTAACTTACTACGAAGGGCTATTTTTAATCATGTAACTTTGGACACTGTAATAGGGGAGGGAAAGATTTCCTGGTGTTCAAAAAACACAGTGTGGACACAACTTCCTTCTCTCTATGCAAGCCCAGCCATCCTTGGAACACTCTTCCTCTTCATTCCCAACTCAGAGGCTGTGCCTTTCCTTGCTTATATCCATAGCCTCAGCTTCAGAATCTTTTAAGGCAATTGAGCTTCTTTGAACCTCCTCTGATACAGGCATGAAGGGCACCAATGAAAAGCAAACTGAATTGTGCAAGTGTAGTTGATTTAACCACTGTCTTCTCTCCACTTCTCACTGCCTGTTTTATGGAGAAGTAAGGTTATACCATGGTAGGTATTACCATGATTCATTAATAATCAATTTACTCTGAGGTCAGAATAACTTTTAATCTTGCTACCCAATATGGATTATTAAAATAAAATATTAGGACAGGCCCCTGCACACTAACGTTTTTCTCTTTACTTCCTTCCACAAATGTTACTAATCCCCTACTACATGCCAGGCCTGTGTCAGGAACTAGAGAAAAAGTGATGAATCAGATCCCCTTTCCCTGCCCTCAGTGATCTTAAACCCTTGTGGGAAGACAGCCATATAGATGGACAATTATAACATAGTGTCCATATAGATAGACTGTGGTGATACCATAGAAACAAAGGCAAGGAGTCTGGCTGCATTGTCAATGACTATCATTATTGAAGAATACACATGCTCATTTATTTCCTTCTGTGGATTTACCTTAAGATTCTATTTCTACAAAATCATTCGATCACAGATTCATTCAACAGTACTCAGCAGCACCTCATATGTGCTGGACACTGTGCTGAGTCTGCGGATGCAGAATGGACAGCTAATCTGGTATCTTCTTTCATGGATCTTACAGTTTACCAGAGGGCATCAGACATTAATTCAATCAACATATATTCAAAATCCACGATGACTAGAAGACATAGTCCTTCCCTTGCAGTCTTTCTCATCTATTTGGGAGAGAACTCAGAGTTCAAGGTCAATACTGTGCAACAAAAGAACATTCCCTTGACAACATCTCCCTTCGAGAAAAGTAAGAACATTCTTTGAATCAAGCTTGTTAGAGGCATTCAAAGATATGAGGTTTAGGATGGCCCAAAATGAGGAGATTTATTTTTTCTTTGGAAAACATGTAGAATTTTATTTCAAAATTAATTGTGGGGATAATAATACATGCAACCACAGCCTGTCAGTTTGTCATACTGTGTGGCTCCTTGTGTGTTGCTATGATGCTGGAAGCTATGCCACCAGTATTTCAAACTCATGTAGTCCCTGACTTACAACATATTTGGATTTCAACCAACCACACTTACTACTGTCTTTTTTTTTGTACATCTTATTATTAGTGATATGTACTATATACAGTGTTGCAGCATGTAATTTACTAATGTTATCATTCTCAGATGTTTACTCACAGATGTTCAAAGATTGGATTTATAGAGAAATTAATAATAATGAAAACTAAAAAAAAAAAGTATTCAACTTATGTAAGGACTGATTTACAATAGAGTTGTAGGAACAGAACCTAGTCATAAGTTAGGGTTTAACTATACTAGCAAGGTCACCCATGGTGGACAGGTTTCAGTGGGGCTTTCAGATTAAGGCAGAGTAGGAAGAAAGGCCTGGTGATCTATTTCCAAAACTTAGCCAGTGAAAACCCTATAGATCACAATAGAATATTTTCCCATATGGTGCTGGGAGGAGCTCTGGTAGCACAGTGCCTAAGGCACTTGACTGCTAACCAGAAGGCTGGTGGTTCAAATCCACCAGCCACTCCTCGGAAGGAAGATGGGGCAATCTACTTCCATAGTGATACTGCCTTGGCAACCCAAGGAGGGGTCGCTATGAGTTAGGTCCAAATCGACGGCACACAACAACAACAACAACATGGTGCTGGGAGATGAGCTCCCTAGGTGGGAAGACAACAATGAACTCAAGTATGCCGGTAACCCTGAGGATGGTGTGAGACCAGGCAGCATTTCATTCTGTTCTACATGGGTCACCGTAGGTTGGAGCTGACTCAACAGCAACTAGTAACAACAAAATACACACAAATGGTTAAAATAAATTTGTAAAGTGAAATCTCCTTCCCATCCTTGCCACCAGCCCCTCAGTTCCCTATCTGGAGGCCATCACTGTTAAGGGTCTCTCTTACCTCCTTGCAGAGAGCATGTACAAATATATGCATGCCACCCTGCCCCCCATACACACCTACACCTTGCTTTGTGCACATGGCTCTGCTCCATATGTTTTGAATTACAACAATACACCATAGAAGATTGCTCTTCTCCGAAATGGAGAACTGAGACTTCCTTTCAATGGCTGCCTAGCAAAGATGAACCACACCATATTTAATCAGCTGCCCACTGACAGAATTTATGAGGCTTCCAGTCCTTTGCTGTAACAAACAATGCTGTGATACATCAGTGAATAAAATGAGGAGGAATAAAACTTTACATAAAATATATAATATGGTCAAGGTCAAATATTATTTTAGAAATAGGTAGACTTAACAATCTGTAGAAAACAGACTTGTACCAAAAAACCCAGATCCGAACATATAAGGACAGTGAGAAAACACATAGGCCAGTTTATCACCAACTGGGTTTACAAGACCTAGAGGAAAGTGCTGTCAAAGAGTATATCCAATTTTATATGTCTGGTCCACAGCATAACATTATTCATAGAAGTGGAATATGGTTTGCATAGATTCAGAAGAAAACCCCTAGTGCCAGGGTTAGGCCCAAGGGAAGGACAGACAGTAGAGACAGAAAAGATGCAAGCTGACCATCTCAGGAGGTGGATGTGCAAGTCTAATTTGGTACAGAGGAGGGTAACCCTGTCGGGCCACCTGGAGGTAGTACACATTATACTAACACAGATACTGACCAGCTCCCCTCAAGTTGACTCCAAGTCACAGCAACCCCATATATGCCAGAATAGAACTATGCTCCATAGGTTTTCCAATGGCTGATTTTTCAGAAGTAGATCCCCACACCTTTCTTTTGAGGCACCTCTGGGTAGATTCAACTCCAAACATTTTGGCTAGCAGCCGAGTGTATTAACTGCACGACCCAGGAACTCCAAGGCAAGCATTAAACCCATTGCCATCTAGTCTATTCTGGCTCATGGTGATCCCATGTGTTACAGAGCAGCACTGCTCCATAGAGTTTGCTTGGCTGTAATCTTTATAGAAGCAGACCACCAGGCCTTTCTTCTGCAATGCTGCTGGGTGGGTTCAAACCCCTAACCTTTAAATTAGGAGGCTACTGTAAACCGTTTGTGCCACCCAGGGATCTTAGTCAAGTACTGGGAGGGGTAAGAGGAGGGCAGAAAGACAGGGGTTTGAGAAGTTGTATCATTTGTAAATACATGCTCATGGCTTTGAGTGCTCTTGGAGTTCAGTAAAGGAGCTCTGGTGGTGTAATGCTTGAGGTTAGTGGTTCAAACCTACAGCCACTCCATGAAAGAAAGATGAGGTGGTCTGTTTCCATAAGATTTACAGCCTTGGAAACCCAATGAGGGTCCCTATGACTTAGAATTGACTTAATAGCAGTGAATTTGGTTTTTGATTTGAGGTTCAGAAGGTGTGTGACTTCTCTAACCAGCTGGCAGCTCAGCATCATGAGCTCAGTATTTCTGCTGCTTCCCCTGTGCTGTTAACCAGTTGGCATCACTGCCTGGAGGAAGCAAGGACCAGGAGAAGGCCTGCTGTCCCAGTCTGGGAGAGAAGGCTGGGGCCAGAGCCATCTGGGCAGCCTCCTACCTTTATTAGTATCCTGCAGTGGGAAGTCCTCACAATGTGCATTCTGTAAGATAAATTCCCAGAAGTAGAGTTTCTGAGAAAGAGTATATACAATTTTATATGTTGATAAGTAATATAAAATTAGCCTTCAAAAAATTTATACCAATTTATACTCCTACTAACTATGTATGAGGGAACTCTGGTATAGTGGTTAAGGCATTAGGCTGCTAACCAAAAGTTAAATGGTTCAAACCCACTAGCTGCTTTGCAGAAGAGCGATGAGGTGGTCTGCTTCCATAAAGATTTATAGTCTTGGAAATCCAATGGGGGTCGCTGTGAGTGGGAATCTGCTTGACGGCAGTGAGTTTGTTTGTTATTTTTTTTTTTCAGCTATGTATAAGAGTGCTTGCTTCTCTATACTTGCCAACTCAGTGTATTAGCCAAACACTTTGATCTTTAACATGTGATGAACTGTATCTGAAAAACCATTCTTAATTCGCATTTCTAGTATTATGAGTGACAATGACTATCTTTCTTGTATGTAAAAAGTCATTTGTGGTTTTTTTGTTTGTTTGTTTGTTTATGGTTCATGTTCTTTGTTGACTTTCCTATTAGGTCAATGATCTTTTCCTTATTGATTTACAGGAGGCCTTTATATATAAGGAACTCAGGGTTTATTTATTTATTTATTTTTCTGATTTGTTGGAATTTTACTTCTCAGTTTGTTATTTATGTATTGGCTTTGTGGTATCTTCTCCCTTCCAGAAATTTTACATTGCCATGTAGTCAAATTTATCATCAAATTTATGGATTTGAAATGCTATCTTTCCCATATGGTAAAATGGATGGGTAGAAATCCTTTTAAGAGAATGGAATTCAGGATTCCTCCTGGAAGAGTCAACAAGCCACAGTAAAATGGTTTGACTAGAGTGGAGGGTGTCAGTGGAAACGAGATTCAAAAGATCACTTCTGGCCCAGGCTGAGAGCTCTGCCCCGTGGGCAAGTAGGAATCTTGGCACAGCTAGAGGAATTGCACCTGCAGGTTTGGGTTTGTCCGATGCCACAAAAACATACATTTGATTGCCTCTGTATCTGTTGCTGCAGAGCCTGGTGACCTGGGAAGGTGATGTCCTTGTGTGTGTGCAGAAGGGAGAGAAGGAGAACCGTGGCTGGAAGCAGTGGGTTGAGGGGGACAAGCTGTACTTGGTAAGTCCACAGATCTGCTCAGTTCCCATCGCTGTGTTCGGGCAAACTACCATATTCACCTCTCCAGGCACTTTGACAAGAAAAATGGCCCTGCTCTGTTCCGCTGAGCTCCAGCCAAATGTGTGTGGTCATATAGTCAGAAAGCCATTTCCATCTGGCTCAGGGGACTTCAAGAAGAAATCTATATGGTTGTTTCTGTGAACAGCTGCAATTAAAAAGAAAGTTCAAAATGCTGAGTTAGGAAGCCAAGATCCAAGAAGAAATGCATGTAAACTGTTAAAGACCAGCTGGGGAGAAATATGAGCCCAGAGCTAAGATGCCTTAGAGGAGGGTACAGCCAGGCCTTCTCACAATTGTGGGAGCCTCGAAGAGGAAAGGGGTGGGGTGAGGACGGGCACCTGGGTCTGGGAACTGCCTGTAGACCACTGGCTTTGACTTCTCAGCATAAGGTATGTCCACATAACCCAAAAATATTTTAGGTTAATTTGGTAGTAGAGCACAACAGTAGAAACAATTGTTGATATCCTTAAATAAATGACATCTAACTAGACAGCTTAATTTTTCATTCTTCAGTCTTCAAGGCAAATTGTGTGCCCAGCATCCAAACAGTGAAAAATCATTCATTCATGCATGCATTTTCTTATTCATTTAAAGGATGGCTCCTTCATGAATGGATCTTCATTCATTCATTCACCTATGGAGTCAGACTCCAATGTCAGCATTCAGGGAACCATGGTGCCCTTCAGAGCCAGCTTTGCTTCACCTGAGATCTTGATTTTCAGAGGCAATGTCAACTGGTGATAAATAGAAGACATTCACTGTGTTTTTCCACTAACGGTTTTCCCTAACTCCTTTTGTTGGGATGATGGATTTTTTTAATTGCAGTACAAGCCCCAGCAGTCCCTGTGGCTATGACGATGGATTTGTGGTCAACTGCAATGATCATGGTGGCCTACCCCACACTCATGTTTTTCTGTTCCCCTTCAAAGGTTCAAGGAGTTCTGGTGGTGTAGTGGGTACAGCATTTGTCTGCTAACCAGAAGGTCAGCAGTTCAAATCCACCAGCTGCTCTGTAGGAAGAACATGAGGCAGTCTACTTCTGTAAAGATTTACTGCCTCAGAAACCCAATGGGGGTCACTATGAGTCAGAATTGACTTGATGGCAACGGTCTTGGGCCTGGGCTTCAAAGAGTCACTGAGGTGCGGATAAGGCAGGTGTCTCCTCTGTTGGAGTCAGACTCAGCATTGTGAATCCTGCACAGGCAGCGTCCGGGGAGCCCTTCTGCAGCCCATACCCTGTCTTTGTGGTACAGTGACCAATAAGCCCTGGAGTCCAGAAAGCGCACAGGGTGGAGGACAGCTCACCAGTCGCAGCTTCCCAGGCCCTTGACTTCCAAATGTTTCTTCCCACTAGACCCTCTCTCTCTTAGTGGCTTTTATAAATTAGGTCAGTTTGCTTTAATCACGGGAGTAGGTGAAATCCCACCCAAGAGGGTAATTCCTTTGCATTTTTCATGTTTATAGTTGTTCAAGCTCAATTCAAGTGTCAAAATCAAATTACTGCTACCTGCAGGGCATGCCAGCTGATGGGGTCTATGAGATGCACTTTACTCAGTATAACTAAGTGTCCTCTAACTTAGTCATCCCCACCCCCACCCTACTCACAGACACCAAGAGGGGCAGGGGGCTGGGCAGAGGGAAAGCCCAGCTTGTTACCTACTCACCCACTTTCTTAATTTTGTAGGAGCTGACCTGTGGTGGCCAGGTGTGTCGTCAAGTGTTCAAGAAGAAGTGACCGCACAGGAAGCCACTGAACACACACTTCCACTCCCCCTCAGAGCTCTCTATTGGCTTTGGGAAGGAGCCATAGGCACCCTCCCACCCTAACAGGTCCTCATTTAGCATCTGGACAGGACCTTAACATAGATGTATGTGTGACAAGGTAGACATAGTTTTCCTTCTTTGAAACCTGTTATTAAATTAAATAAAAAAACAAAAACCACTCCCATCCTTTGAAGCCCTTTATACATGTTACTATTTTGTTGTGTGCCATCTAGTCCTCTTCAAGTGATAGCAACCTCAAATGACAGACTAGAACTGCCCTTCAGAGCTTTCTTGGCTTTCCAGGAGCAGATTGCCAGGTCTTTCTCTCCCTGAGCTGCTGGGTGGGTTCAAATTGAAGCTGCACATAACCATTTGTACCACCAGAGCTCTCTCCTTTGTAACTGTCTCCCTTTATTTCTGGAGATGAATAACAGTTCCACCCACAGGCAGAGGAGCTCTGTTAGCGTAGTGCTAACACTACCAGAAGGCTGGTGGTTCAAACCCATCAGCCACTCCTCGGAAGGAAGGTTGGGCAATCTACTTCCATAGTGATACTGCCTTGGAAACCCAAGGAGGGGTCACTATGAGTCTGGTCCGACCGACGGCACATAACAACAACACAACAACAAAAACAACGCACAGGCAGAAGAGGTGATTGCCTGCCTGGTGGTCTTTTATTTAGTCTTTTTGTTGTTTATTTGTTTTGATTTTGTTTTCTTCTTGTTTTGTTAGTATGTTTGTTTGGGAGGCCATTTTTACCTAGAAACACTCACTGGCCCACACAGCTTCCCCCACTGATTCTTGAAAATCCCCCACTTGTGCTTTATTTCTTTGGGTAATGCATTCCATTTCTCTAAGATTCTCTGTTTAGACACACATGCCTGAAAGTTTGCACTTGCCTGAAGGAACGTGCAAAAAGCTACCCCTGAAGGCTTTTGGCAGGTCTGCGGTGCCACCTGCTCTTGGCCCGGTCTGGCCCTCTGCCTTCACCACTGGGCAGACTGACGCCTTTGCAGAGGGGATCCCTGAGCACAGGTTCACTCATCCTTGGAGCACTTTCTCAACCACTGTCTCGTGCAGACTGCTGCAGCTTTGGGTGGTGGCCTGAGTTCAAGTCCTGCTGTTGCACTTCTTAGCTGTGTGAACATGGGCAAGTTATTTGGCCTCCCTGTCCCAATTTTCCTCCTCTATAAAATGGGGAAAACAGAAATAGCATCTTCTCTGCTGGGTCATTGTGAGGATTAAGCAAGTTAGTGCAAATAAAGTGCTTGGAGCAGAACCTGGTACACAGTAAGGGCTCCCGACCTGCTAGTTCTGGTTATTATGCTGAATTGTTCCCTCCACAGTTGCAGGGATCCAGGTAAGCAGATGCTAAGTAGCAGCAGGTTAATACCTCCAAGGCCTCCTCGTGCTTTCAGAACATTAGGTTTGTTATTCTGAACAGAATTTTATTTCCTACTGGATACACAAATGGAATAGTGCACCTAGAAGGGCGGAGTTCTTAATTGGGATGGATTTATGCAGAAGCATGTGCGGGGTATTGGGAAGATACTGCAGGTCAAAGTCATGTCCTTCATTCCTCTGCAGAGTGGCATGGAATCCCATCATTAGACTAGCATCACCTTTAAAAAGCAGCTTTATCCTGAGGTGGGTGGCTCATGGTATTAGCACACTTTGGTATGGTGTGATTGACCTTATGCTTTCACTGATCCTGGACATCCTACATTGGATTGAGGGATGATAGAAGGGCAACAATCCAGCCATGCGACCCAGAATCAGCCTTGGCCCAAGTCCTTCTGACCAGGAGGCAAGTTGTGGCCCTTAACAATCATGCCGGTGTTCCTGTGGCAAAAAAGTCAGGGCAGTGGCCTGCTGAAGCTTCATGCTGGCTGGGGAACAAAGGGAGGTAGGTGGGCCTCCCACCAGCTCAGCCCTTCTAGTCAAGTCAGTGAGAGGCAATGGAGAGGAAGGAGGGCCTCCTGAGGAGGCTCAGGCCCTGTCTCCAGGGGCAGACTGGGAACTAAGCCAAGGAAATAGTTCAGGGGGTTCTTTGTCCTACCTTTTCCTAAATCTGCCCCAGGAGCCCCATGTCCTCCTGCTCTCACCAGTCCTGCCCTTACTCACCACAGTCTCCTTTGCGGTTTGTGGCGACACTTTCCTTTGTCGCATAAGAAAACACTATTAAAGCACTAAATGAGATCATGTCTGAAAGCTTTTATGGATCTAGCTGTAAAGAGCTCTGACTAGGTAAGGCTTTAATAATATTTATTTGTAATTCTTGACTCCGGGTTTTGCAAAACATATTCTAGTGGGTATTAGTCTCTTGAAATTCAGTGAAAAGGCCAAATGAACTTGGAAAATACTGAGAACTATATCCCCTTCTTAGAAACTCACGGCGAGAGCTCACATTTTTAGAGCTCTGAAAAGTCCTGCAGCAAAGAAGCCTGTCCTTAAAAATTATAGGATCTCCTTCCACCCAACAGGAATTCATGTCTACAGAGTGTTTTTGAAACATGGCCTTTTACTCCTTATCTTCATATAGCACTTTTTTCAATTAAAATAAATAATATAAATTAAGACTCCCATTTTCCAAGTAGGATATGCTCAGTATATTTTTTTTTTTTTCCACAAAAGATTTAGTTTATAGTGTAGTGGAAGACTTATAGTGGTTATATTCGTTCTTCTACTGATCATTCTCTTTCAAAGAAAATACATATAAGCTTGGAAGTGGTAGAATCTGATGTAGTTATTCAAAGCCAGAAATGCTTTGAATAAAACATTTAAGTGGTTAAAGAGTTCAGGTGCAAACCGAAAGCAGTGGTTTGAACCCACCAGCCACTTTGTGGGAGAAAGTTGTGGCAGTCTGCTTCGGTAAAGATTTATGACCTTGGAAACCATATGGGGGAGTTCTACTGTGTCCTATAGGGTCACTATGAGTCAGAATCGACTCAATAGCAGTGTGTACCTAAGGGGATATATTCAAAGCAAAGGCAGGAATTTAGGGCCAGGGCATTCACTGTGGATAAGGTAGGTCAAGCCACCCGCCTCATACTTGTATTCCACCTTCAAAACCAAACGTTAGCAGAAATGCCTCATACCAGCACTGGCAAGCCTGACTGGGAGCAGAGTGAAAGAAGTTACTTTTTAAAACTCATTCAAGGCTTATACAGAAAAGAGGAAGGGCCAGTGGGAAGGATGCCCAGCACCTCAAAGCTCCAGTCTCCAAGTGGTGGCATGAGAGACACTGGGAGTTAGCTCTTAAACCAAGGGAAATGATCTTTAAAGAAATCTGTCCTATGAGAATCCAGGCTTACAAATAGGCAGCAATGAAGAATGGCTCAGAGCGGGGACTTTGGCATCAGCCTTGGTTCAAACCTTGACCTACCACACTCTTCAGCTGTGTGACTATGTAGCAGTTACTTCCTCTCTCTGAGCCTCCATTGCCTTCTCTGGGTAAAGCCAGCTTAGCAGGAAGTCAAAAGTTTTGTGAATCCCCCTTCATTTTTCTGGCTAATTCTATATCAGTTCCCCTGCCTGTGTCTGATAAGCCCTGAAGATAAGTACAGAGGTGAGACCAAGGCAGGCCAATGGAAATGCTGTTCCATTTAGACCCTGGAGGATGGCAATGGATGGTGGGGAGAGGGCACAGCCTGAGCAAATGGATGGAGGCAGAACAAGGCAGGTGGGAGTGCAGGGCAATACCTGTGGTGGGAGGGAAGAAGTCCAGGGCCAGAAAGGCTGTTGTCTCGAATTAAGAGTAGGTTGTGAGCACCTTGCTGGACCCTAGTTGATTAGTCCTGGAAAGCCACTGCAGACTTGTAAGCAGAATGATGCAATCTGAGCTATGGATCAGAGAAAATGCTCAGTTTTCTGTGTGCAGTACAGATGGAGATGCAGAGATGTCTGGGGTTCACCTGTTCAGAAGCTGTTGTGATTCATTCAGGGGAGAAGCATGAGGGACCCAAATCAGGGCCAAGGAGTAGTGGCAGAAAGGAAGGAAAGAAAGTAGAGGGGCTTGAAGGAGCCACTGCAGTTGAGAATGGTTTTACAAAGCTCACAAGGGACATGAGGAGATAAAGATGGCTGTGAGTTTAGGGAAAGAGGGAAAGGATGGTCAGTCACATGGCTCAGCAGTGGGAAGAGGCTGAGATGCACAGGGAAGATGGTGGATTTGGGTTAGCCCTGTTCACATGAGGTGAAAGGGGTTCATGATTAAAAAGCAGTCATTCCCTCCCTCACCACCCACTGTCACTCTCCAATGGCTACATGTTATTCATTCATGAACCTGCCAGATCCCATTGGCTGAGGAGGAGGGGAGAACTGAGCTGGGCCCACAGCTGAAGGAGCAGCCAGGCCACTATCAAGGTCTTGAGGTAATGAGGTCACTAGGGGCAATGGGAGGAGGAAGTGGGGAAAAGGCAGAGGGCAAGGAAGAAGAGGAGAAGAGAGAGGAGGAGAGAAGGGAGAGAAAGAGAGGAGAGGAAATGTCAGTAGAGGAACAAATGGAGAGAGAGAGGACTGGCAAGGAGGAGAGGACTGGAGCAGAGTTCCTACTCATCAGAAGTGAATGCAGGAAAAAGGAGCAGATGTCAACTATGCCTGACTAACTAGGGTACGCAGACCACAGCTAGAGCAGTAGTAACTAATACAGACCCCAATGGCTTCCTCTAATTTTTTTTCTTTTGTCTCCAAAGCACAAAAAAGTGTATTCAAATACAGCTAGGCCAGTAAAGCAGAGAAATTTCACCCATGGGCATTGGAGGAGGCTTGGCCTGAGCCCTTATCTGATGTTCAAGGCAAAGAACAGATCCAGGTAATAGGTCTAACCCTTTGTCAAGCACCTCCTCTGTCCTTATGTGAGCTCTTTCCATCTTCAAAGCCCTGTTATGTATGTACGTGCTCATTCGACAGATGAACAAGCTGAGGTTCAGACTGGGTCAATCAATCATTCAAGATCTCTGGTAAATAGCA